TATCTTCCTTTTTCTGTTGACTTATGTAATCTATTGTAAATTATGTCAAACTAATGTTAAATTATTTTAATACATTGTGTGAAATATGGTTCTGTATATGCATTTACATATATATTTATGTTGTAGTGGAAGTGCAAGTTAATAAACACACACACACACACACACACACACACACACACACACACACACACACACACACACACACACACACACACACACACACACACACACACACACACACACACACAAAAAAAAAAAAAAAAAAAAAAAAACTCTCTCTCTCTCTCTCTCTCTCTCTCTCTCTCTCTCTCTCTCTCTCTCTCTCTCTCTCTCTCTCTCTCTCTCTCTCTCTCTCTCTCTCTCTCTCTCTCTCTCTCCAGTGGACAAGACTGAAATCATTGGTTATTCTTTCCAACTGTACATGTATATATGTATATACATACAAACACATATACACCTGTACATATACAAATGTGTATATATACCAAAGACTTCCAAATATTGTTTTATTTTAAATATGGTTGATCTACTTAGTTTAGTTAGTTTAGTTTGCCTTCCTTACACCTGTAAAACGGGGTTGTAGAAAAGGGAAACTTAAAAATTAAAGAATAAAAGGCAAATATCTATTTTATTAGACACTCAGACATTAGAACCTTATGCCTTTAGAGTTAATCACTCATATTATTATTATTATTATTATTATTATTATTGTTATTATTACTACTACTACTACTACTACTACTACTACTACTACTACTACTACTACTACTACTACTACTATTCTTACTGTCATTATTATTATTATTATTGTCATTATTATTATTATTATTATTGTCATTATTATCATTATTGTTGTTGTTATTATTCTTGTTATTATTATTATTATCATTATTATTATTACTATTACTTTTTTTTTTTTTTTCTTATCATTATTGCAATTATTATTATCATCATTATCATATTACTGTAATTGTCAATTCACTCATTCATTCTGTTTCACAGTCATTCCCATTTAGTGAATAATACTCGTGCTAATAATCACTATTTTATTTTGAAGTTGAAGTCTACTTTGACTTTTTATTTATCATTTTTATTTAGGGGGGGAGGGGTAATAATCATGCATGTACAAGTATCAAAGTAGATGTCATAACTACAGTGTGGTTAGTGTGGTTAGTTACCTAAGGTTTCATGTAATTGTTAAGGATGAAGAACAAAGCACATGCTATACGACCGTAAAATGCGTTAAAAAGTATTGTACAATATTTTTTTGTTTGTTTGTTTGCTGTGAAATAAGGGTAAAGACATTTTTGTAACTTTTTGTAGATTTTTTGTAAATTTTCACGGATGGTCTTTTATCAAGATTGTATCCTTAGTTGATTTTAAAATATATTCTGGATTTATTTTAACCCTCTTGCAAATATCGAGTTCAAAATACATTTCCATGCATTTTATCCAGTTATCCCCAGGAGCCATCTCTTAGTAGTAGTTAGTGTGTTGAAGTCGCCAGCAAGTGAGAACTGGCAACTCGACTCACTCACATGTTCTCTAAACTCTGTGAAAATTTGGTACAGTGGAAATTGGAAGGAAATGGGAAGTGAGTGCCACATGTGTTATGCGTGGCCTTAGATCCATAAATGAGCATGGTGGTTTTTTTGAGTATGTGTGAGAGGGTTAAGCCAATATTGTACTTCTGATGGACCAAAGGCATTCAATTAATTTTGGTTAGAACTTTTATTTGAAAATTATTTTAATTTTTTGTAGGAAAGTAATTGAGGTAATGTAGAGTATGTCTGTGTAATTCCACATATTATTTTAATGGGTGATATTCTTCATTTGTATTTATTTCTGTATTTTGATCCATATTGACAGTTTTTAGAAAGATGAAATAAAATGGAAAGATTTTTTTTCTCTTCTTTATTTCTCCTCAGCTCTGTAGTTCCCCGCTGGTCGTCAATGAGGGTTTTAGGGTGAATTCCAATGCACTCACTGCCTTGGGAATTAACTGGAAATATGCTGACATTCTTAAAAGTCTATTTCTTGTGTCAGTAATATAAGTAATTCTCTAAATTTAAAGTTGGAAATGTTATACTTCAAACCAAATGTTATCTGCATACCATTTTATATGATATCACAAAAATCTACAAGAAATATGTTTCAAACCATGAATATTTTTGTAATTTTGATCATTGTAAAAAAAGCTCTACCTATTAATGCTTTTGCATGCATACCTATCTCTTATGCTCCACCTCTTTTCTATTCTTACATGATATTCACAGGTTGAGAGTATAATATTGATTCATTATGTAGTCACGAGATTCTGAATTCTTCATGTGTAGTTTTTTTCTTGCAAATAAATAGATGAGCTAAGGCAGGAAGAATCAAAAATGGCAAAAGTGCATTCAGGTTGGTTTATTATCAGTATTATCAGTATTTAAAAGTTCATGAGTAGATAGGCTGGCCATTCATTATCATTTAGTGCTATATAATAATCATTTAGTTAGGCTTGCTGACACTCCAGAACTTTTTTCACATTGGTGATAATGCATCAGTAATAAGAGAATTATACACAAAGTCATTTATAAAATGTTGATGTACAACTCTCAGAAAGAAATTTATAATCTATAAGTTAGTCATACACTGTTAATGTGTTGAAGACAGAAATATTCTCTTGTGGTACAGGACAAAAATCTTTACCTCACAAACAAGAACCATGCAAGTTCCTGTTAAAAGCCTGATGAAATATATTAAATCATCTAACAGCCTCAAGGTCTAAGAAGGAAATTTATAAAGCAAAGCATAGCAAAGGTACTCTATTTCACTGGTTACCATACTCACAGAGTATATGTACATTTCACTAGGAAATATTAATTACATCACAGAATGCTATGTATGTACTTATGTACACACATATATACTTACTCTCTCTTCTCTTTATGTCTCTCCCTCTGTATGTGTGTGCGTGTGTGTGTCTATATATTTAGATTTGTGTGTGTCTGTATGTATATGTATATGTAAGTGTATGTATATGTGTGTGTGTGATTAAGCCTGTTGTGCCTGAGCGATAGCAGTAATGATGTCAGATTTTAGTTTGAGCTTCTTGTCCGCAGGGACCTTGTGCAATTCTGACACGAGAGAGAGCAAGAACAATCTATCCTCATCCTTTTCACTTGGTAATGCTTCACCCTCTTTAAGAATTTTCTTGAGGACATGAACAAGCTCACCCTCTTCCTCTAAGTGAGTTCTCTTCCTCAAATATCGACTTCTGGGTCTTTCAGCCTCCCAGTCGTCCCTTGGCATCCCCGGGCTCGAATCTAGCACTACCTCATGCTCGCTATCCATACTAGTGCTTGCGGCAAATCCCTCGTCCCCGGTGCTTGTGGTCTGCTTGGGTACGCTTCCCAGGAAATGTAAGTTTTCGAAGTAGACATACTGCTTCCGTCCACATGCCTCTGAGCCGCTCTTCTCCTTCTTCCTCTTCAGTAGTTCTCGGCAATAACAAGTACGGATACCCTTCCATTTCTTCTGAATAACAGACACTGAAGAGAAGAGAAGAGAAAAAAGAAAAGAAAATGCAAGATATTGATACACACAGCAAATCTTCTATCTCAAGCACTTTTTCAGAAAATTTTCAGAAATTCTGGCTAATTCCTGTTGTCACATGAAGTTAAGTAAGGATTGTAATAGCCTAAGTTACTTATTTATCCATTTATTTGTTCGTTAGTTGGGGTGAGTATTAATAGCTACTTTCCCATAGTAACATATTTATTTATTTATTGTAGTAACATATTTATTTATTTATTATAGTAACATATTTATTTCTTTATCATCAATTTGTGGTGATGATAATGGTAATAATGATGGTAATAATAATAATAATAATAAAAATAATAATTATGGTAATAATAATAATAATAATAATAATAATAAAAATAATAATTATAATCATAATAATAATAATAGTAAAAATAATAATAATAATAATAATAATAATAATAATAATAATGAAAATAAAAATGATTATAATCATAATAATGATAGTAAAAATAATAATAATAATAATAATAATAGTAATAATAATGATAATGATAATAATAATAATAATAATAATAAAAATAAAAATAATAATAATAATGATTATAATAATAATAATAATAATAATAACAATAATAACAATAACAATAATAATAATAATAACAATAATAATAGTAACAATAATAATAATAATTATAACAATAATAATAAAAATAATAATAATAATAATAATAGTAACAATAATAATAATAATAATAGTAACAATAATAATAATAAAAATAATAACAATAATGATGATAATGATGATGATAATAATAATAACAACTATTACAATAATGATAATAATAACAATAATAATAATAATTATTATTATTATCATTAATATAATAATAATATTTTTATCATTAATATTATTATTATTATTATGATCATTATCATTATTATCATTATTATTATGATTATCACTATTATTTTTTTTCATTATTATTATTATTATCATTATTATTATTATTATCATTATTATCAATATTATTATCATTAATATTATTATTATTATTATTATTATTATTATTATCATTATTATTATCAATATCATCATCATCATTACTATTATTATTATTATTATTATCCACATCAATATTAGCATTATCACTATTGTTCGTAGTAGTAGTAGTACTATTATTATCATCACTGGTATAACAATCATAAATACCATTATCACTATTAACATTACCATTATCACAACCAAATACTATTATTATCATCATCATGGACAGTGACAATTCGGGATAAATGGCATACTTACATATCTCTCTTCTCTCGGGAAGCGTCTTGTCATGAAAATCCGGCATGAAATTCCGCGCAATGTCATGCCAGGCGCCTTTCCGCTTGACTTTACTTCCGTATTCCTCGAGCGCAGTGTTCCATATCTCAGGGTGTCTCTCCACCTCGTATATTAAGTCTTCGGTGTTCACTTTCTCATTCACCAGCTTCAGAATGTGGTTACTGTTCATTTTGGCGATAAATAAATTGGGGCATAAATGGGCATTTGGCTTTCTTCGGGTCGCGACGGGGGGAGGGATAGAAAATGGCGGCAACTCGTGGCACCGGGATGGAGGCTTACATATTGGACATTTGCCTCAGAGTCGGTAGAGCTTCTAGTTTTTACAATGCTCCATTTATACGTTTAGGTACTCGGTGTTGCATCGGCTGATTGTGCCCGGCCGACTGCAATTGCCATGTGCGGAAGTCCGCACTTGCAAACAGCAAAACGGTTGCAGGAATCGATTGCCGCAACCAATTGCCTCGAGTGAAAGCGTCCTTGCGTGCAACTTGCCTTTTCGCAAATTTTCTTTATTATAGAAATGTATCATCGCGGCGCTGATTTTAGTCGATCTTTTTACATTCTCACATTCCCAATCGACCATTGCAAGTTCTCTCAGTCCAGCTTATCATAACGATTCAAGCTAAAACTGAACAAATATTAGTAAAACTGCGTTCGAAAAATTAGCGAGATGACGTCACGGGGAAGCGAGTGGATTCCGGGCGCTGATTGGCTGCTTCGAAGGTGGCGCTTCGCTCGCCCAAATCGATGCTGTTTTGGGGAAATTTCCCCACGTGCAGGGGAATTAGGATGCATTTAGGAAGATCCTCTAATATAACGATCATTTTACTTTTTCAAGAAACGCAGCAAATTGCAAACATAAATACAATGGCCCTACAAGACCCAAATTCCTTCATGTTCTCAAATAAAGTCCTTCGTGGCGTAAAAACGAGCGTGATTCCCGAGACTATTTTGTCTATGAAGATTAAACCTCCATACGATATTTTAAGACACCTTGTTCTGAAATTAATGAAAAAATCAATATGACACAAGTAACAGCACTTCATGAGCTAATTATCATCATGATATGTCAAAGTAAATGATTCAGATATTGTAATGCGCATGAAAATAATAATTAGAAAAACAACAACAAAAACAGTCAGATGCTTTATGCGAATGACTTAACTATTCAGTCATGAGATTTTTTTTTAATCTCTATTAATACTAAAATACAGATCATTCTTCGCCAAATGTAATTTTTTCGAAATGCCTTCCTCCTAACGGCTGCTTTTACGGTCCAATAATCACCGGAATTACCAAAGAATTATAAGAAACAATAATAATGATAATAAAGAATCATGTAGTTTATTATAACCTAAGTTGCTTTTTTTTAATGTGGATAAGCTATTGTTAGGGGATTTTTCCCAGTGGCGGGGGATACATTATCGGGAAGATAATCATTTGCATAAAAATAACCAGGCCTTGATAACGAAATACATACTTTTCCTTAGAATGTGAAATGACTTTCTTTAAAAGGTATTTGATATAAATGCTCATCTGCGAGACACATAATCCCCACAAAAAGTTGGATGAATCGCAGTAATGTTGCATGTGTGACAGGCGGCCGAAATATATTCAGGATTAATACCTATAAATAGAAATCTCAAGAGAAGACAGCAACTACGCATTGATATATCGCTAAAGTAATCGAGGAAATGCAAAATGCTCGTTGTTATCGGCGCAGGAGGGAATGCTTCCAAAATTTATATCATTTTACAAAAGGTTTTAGAAGATCCATTTACTGCAACTGCAAGCAAGAAGGCAACATCTGTTCTGTAATGACTGGTGAGTAATCCGCGCCTGCAACACAAGCCGCGGATCAACACCCTAGGAAAATAAAAAGACGGGCTGCTCTTGAGAGAGAAAAAGAGAGAGAGACTCGGGATCATTCCATCTGGGAGGAAAATAAAATGGAATTCGCCGTCGCAGCAGCAGAAGGGAAGGTCGGGGCGGCGGGGGAGGTTCGGGCGCGGGCGGGGGAAAAGGCGCGGCGGCGGGGGAGAAAGCTGCTGTCGGGGGGGGAGGGGGAAGGGTGGGGAGGCAGGGTAGGAGAGAGGGAGGGACGGGGGGAGGGAGGGGCATGGAGGGGAGGGAGAGGAGAGAGGGGAGGGAGGTGGGCCGGGGGAGGGCATGAGGGACGGGGCCCGGCGGGAAGGGAGGGGGGAGGGCCGGGCGGGCGGGGGGGAGGGGGTGGGCCGGGCGGGGAGGGGGAGGGAGGCCAGGCGCGGCTGGGCGACGCGCGAACACTTGTGTGTGATGTCCAGCGCCACGCCGCTCTAGCCGCCGCCGCGGACATGGAGAAGAGGATCGAGCTCGAGCGGAGGGGCAGGAACCCCGCCAAGGTGCGTAGGAGGCGCGGGGCCCCGGGGGCGGCCGCGGGGCAGGACAGGGCGAGGGCAGGCGCTGCGTCGCAGGCTTTCCGAGGGAAGGGCGGGCGCAACACCTGCCTGGGACGGGCATGTGGCGTCCCGACATCTGTGCTCAGGGCAGGCGGGCACGGGCGGGCACGGGGCGCGGGAAGGGGGCGAGGGGCGCCGTGGGGGCCGCCCGCCTGGAGGCCCTCGGGGTCGCCGCCGCCAGGAGGTCGGCCTCGACCTGCTGGGCCTCGACGCCCGCGCGGCGCCCTGGGTGGGCCGCGGGGCACGGTGCCCTGCCGCCTCCCCCTGACTGTGCCCTGGGACCCCAGGGCCGCCCTGTCCCCCGTTGGGGCGCTGGGCGGCTCCAGAGGGCCTTCTGGGGCTGGCCTCCTGCAGAAGGGCCCGAGGTGCTGGTTGGAGGGAATGGGCAGTGCGTGTGTTGGGGGCAAGCTGTGGGTCGCCTCTGCCTGGGGGAAAAGTGGCAGAGTTTTAGAGTTTGTGCCAGGGACGCCCCATTCTGGCCCCAGGGCCCTCCAGATTGTGCGCATGCATCTGGCCACAGTGCCAGAATCCCCAGTTGTCCCGCCCCAGAATGGGATGGGGCTGGCGGCTCCGCGCTTTAGGGCCTTGGTTGGGGCAGTGCCGCTGCCCCAGCAGGAGCCCTGAACCAACAGCTGCTGAGAGTGCTTGCCTTGGAGCGGTCTCTGTGCCGCCCGTCATTGCCCATCCAATGCCCAGGCTTCCAGCTGTTCTCGGTCAGAGGGTCAAGGTTTCACTGGGTCTGCGCGGGCTTTTGTGATCCGAAGGGCAGGTTAGAGCGACGCAGGTGTGGTGGAGGTGGTTATGTTTGGGTACCTCTCACTGTAGGAATATTTATATATTTACATGTATATGTTTATATGTGATGCATGCACATATGTGTTGTGTTTTTTCATGTTTCTCACTATTACAAAGGTTGTAAAATGACGTCAGGAGTAAATTACTCATTATTGTCAACAAGCATCAATTTCTTGCTCAGAAAATCTGTGACGCCCCAAACCTCTTGGTTCTTGTCTCGCTGTTTGGGTTGCTTGCTGAGGAATCAATACCTGCTTAAAAGAATGCTTAATGAGTTGATCAGAATGGGAGGTTGCATTTTCTTTGGCGCAGATAAGCATCTGGTTCTTGTACACAGTGTCGCATTAGTGTAAGCATATTGTATGGAAGATCATTGTGTTAGAAAGAGAAGACGGCTAAGGTTGTAGCTCTCAGTTTCTGTAGTTAACAGTACTGAGTTTTTGTAGAATTTGGTTGAGGTGTTTTGGTAAAAGATTTTCCTTCATGCTGTGCATTTAGTAGTAATCTTTGAGAGTATTGATTTTTAGAGATATATAGTAGGATTTTTTTTGTTAGTGGCTATTCCATCAGAGAATATCATTTAATTGAGAACCTGAAAGTATTCCTTTATCTTAAAATTCTCAAAATTATGTTATTTGTATGTCATGCTGATATTAATTGAATTCACAGAGAATGTCAAGGAAACGATTTTATCAAAATGCACTAATTTTGTAGAAATTTACAAGCATAATGCAATCATTATTATGCAAAATTTCTGGCCAGAAATATCCAGATTTACAGGATAGCATTTTTAAATACTAGAATTTTGAGAAGTCAATGTATAGTTGAAACAAGAAATCTCCATATGATAAGGCATAATTATACAGATCAAAGTACTTAGCATAAGGATGACAGTCATTCTAGATATATTTGTATATATTCTAGCTGCTACTGGCACTGAAAAGACCAGATCCAGGCAAACTCATATTTAAAAAGTTTTCAGCATTGGTCTGAAAATCTTTCCTTTCAGAGAAAAAAGTCATGAAATACTAAATAAAACAAAGGCAATTCAGTTGAAAAAATCTTGAAAATTATTGTAATTGTATGAGATACAGGTAAACATTCATTGAAATCCCTTACAGCCTGAGCCGTTCAGATCCTTTTTACTTCATTGATTGTACTCCATGCAACAGGGTTTAGTTTATGTATTAACCAAATTTGTTGCACGTGAGGTTCTAGGTAATTTGTCCTTTGGTTATCAGTTACAGAAAGAACCCTCAAAGTCACTCTCTTGGTCTGTTTGCCTTTTTCCTTGCATTTGTTTTGATTATGACTTGGAGATACTAGTGAATACAGAATATTGATGTGTTAATAATTGTTATTACTTTATTTTTACAGATCACAGAGCTAAACTTGGACAATTGCAAGAGCACCTCCATTGTGGGGCTGACCGAGGAGTTCGAGAATTTGGAAGTGTTAAGCCTGATAAATGTGGGCCTCACATCTCTCAAAGGGTTCCCAGCCCTTCCCAATCTGCGGAAGGTGAGACAGTGCAAGGGTTTTTGGCGTTCTTATTTAGTTCAAAGTATATTTGGACTGCATTTCTTTCCTGTTTTGGAATGTGAGAATAGAGTTCTTAGAGATATATCTATCCTTTTCTTTGATATCTTCTGATATGTTTCTTATCAGATGTCATTTTTTGATTTGAAAGGTTTCTAGGGTGTCCTTTTGGTTTGTGGCAAAAACAGTGGTGAGAATATATATATAAATATTACATGTTGACTATACAGTCTTCCAAGAACAAATGATTGTGTACCTCCTCATATCAAAACAAGAGGGACAACTCTGAAGGAAGCAGCCATTGGTTCCTGAGACCTTATGTAGAGTCCCTTTCTTGTCCTCTGCTTGTCCCCATCTTGCTCTGAATGGAACTGTTTATGTTCATTAGTGCAAAGGGACTGAGCCTTCCCCTTGATTCTTTTTCTTTAGCTTTTGAGGCAATTACTAACAATGATGGTAACCTCTGACAAAACTTTACTCACCATGCTGCTCCTTGGACAAAATCCTTCATGTGTGTGCCAGAGCTGACTGAGCCTGACTTGCTGAATTATTAATCTGTGCCATGGATAAATGTTTTGAGATGTCAGAACCAAATATACTGCTGTATGAGGTGGAACTTTGCTTATCTGGTCTTTTGCATAACAAATGTTGAAGGTACAAATACCATCATTT